ACAAACTAGTACACAAATACTCTAATAATTCTTCAGCATTTCGCTTGATTACAGACATCAGTATAATACTATAATTTTTAAAGTATGTGCTACACAAGACAACAGAGGAATATTTTAATATTCTTTAAAATTCCAAATAAGGTTGAAGGGAAGTCTCATTTCCATCAGCTGTCATCTCATTTCACCAGAGGTTGATGTATGTTTTAATTAATTTTTAAATTAATTAAAATTTAATTTACCAACTTACACATTTTTATAAACCACTTGTATGTCCTAAATGTTATGAAATGAGTCACATAAATAAATATTTGGTCTCTACCTTCTTGTTTCACGTGTGGAATTGCTGAAATTTTCTGTTTAAGAATACTACATCCTTTTTTTAAAAAAAATTGTGTCCCAATATTTTAGCATAATCTTTTCAATAAATGTAAACCATACCACTGCAGGAGTCTTTCCCATATTTAATTATTAGCCCATCTGACTTCAGATGAAGTCTTAAGGTCCCCTTTATAAAGTAAAATGAACCTTATAAAGTCTACAGAACTTTTTCTGTATTCCCTATTTCAGTTCTTTATTTTAATAACAGACTTCTATGTAATTAATCCCTTGGAGTTTGCCATCACATAATCTACCCTGTGTATGAACTGTTCCATGTGTATTTTTCTGGCATCAAGACCTCTGGAAAAAAATAAACAAATAAACAAAGACCAAAAGGAATCATGCACAAGGGGACAAATTGTGTCAAACAGAACTGGTCTCATGTACCTATAAACCATGCAACAAGGGCAGAAGTCTCAATCCATCTTATCCAAGGTCTAGGAAAGGAGATCTCACCATAAAGAACTTTTCCCTTTGACAGGAAACAGTAATATTTCCTTACTTGGGAGCTAAAGCAATAAGGCAATCATAAATAAATGGTGCATAACTACTGCTATTCAAGTAGTGTTGGGCATCTTTTTTTCTTTTTTTGGACTGTCTCCCACACTTTTTGCCTAATTATAGTTTAGAATTTAGCTGAGAAAAATTCCTATGAATTAAAATTCAAACAAATAACATTAGGATTTTATTGTTTTTCATAAAGCCATTTCACATGTCAAGCAATGCCCAAGCAAAGGAAAACTACTATACATTTATTATTTCACAGAGTTTTGAAACTTGAACAATTCTCATCTGAAAATAAAGAAAAATATAATTTTTGCAGAGTGAATGGGGACCACACTGATTCCATTAAAAAAAAAAAAAAAGATTTCCTGTAAAAACAGAAATTGGCAATTTACTCTAAGAAAACACAGCAAAAGCTGGGAAGAAATTTGAGGATGCCTAAATTTCCACTGTGGAACAACTTTTGCTGCCCAGTGGGGAGAGAAAAAAAAAAAAAAAAAAAAGAACACCTGCAACAGGATGTGAGGAGAGGAAGACAATCTGGGACTACAGGTCCAGTGAGGGGAAAATAAGACAGGTTTCTAATCCAGGAAGAGAGGGAGTTGACAAGGAATATATACGTGTTTTAAGAAGGCTACCAAGGCAGATTTTGTAGTCACCTGCCACATTAGAGAAAAACAAGAAGGCAGTATTTGCTGGGGAGACGGAACCAGTGCACAGCAGATACTGATGAGTTTCAAGCACCTTTTAACTAGAGGAAAGATTAGTGAGGTGCTGAAAGTTGCTGCCACCAACTGGGCAACAGGCAGACTTGGGGGTTACAAATCACTTTCACTTCATAAACTGTGCCTTTCCAATCAGAATGGTAAACAGATTTCACTGTAGTCAAAGAGGTTAGTTCTGAAGTGGGTAATATTTTAACAGGCAAAAACAGAAATTTTAAGCAATAACTGGAAAAATGTAACACATAGCTGCTTTTTCTGATGATTTATACAGCAGGGCACCGTTAAAGAATTTATTCATATGAGACTGTAATGGCAATAAGCAGAGGGAATAAATTTTAAATGTTATTCAAATTTAACATGAGACTTGGTGTTTGCTTAAAATCTATGGGAAAGCCTTTAATCCAGCAATTCTACTTTTACTAATCCATACCACATATAAACATGTGTATGTAAACACGGGTATGTAGAAGAATGTTGGTAATAGCAAAAGACTTCATGTAATCTAAAGAGCCATCACTAGGGAACTGTTCCAGCCACATAATGAGATTCTATACAAGAAAATGGGGTTGGGTGCGGAGGCTCACGCCTGTAATCCCAGCACTCAGGGAGGCTGAAGTGGGCGGATAACTTGAGGAAAGGAGTCTGAGACCATCCTGGCCAACATGGCGAAACACTGTCTCTACTAAATATACAAAACAGCCGAGCTTGGTGGCATGCGCACCTATAATCCCAGCTACTCTGGAGGCTGAGGCAGGAGAATCACTTGAGCCCAGAAGGTGGAGGCAGTAAGCGGAGACTGCGCCACTGTACTCCAGCCTGGGCAACAGAGCAAGACCATGTCTCAAAAAAAAAAAAAGAAAGAAAGAAAATGCATGAGGTAGAGCCACATAAGTTAATAGACAGATGAATTAAAGATATATAAAAAGTGAGTAAAAAGTTCATAAATTGTATGAACAGTATATTTCATGTATTAAAAAGGTTACACACACATATATATGTGTGTATGTATATATGTATATTTATATGTGTATTTGTACATGTATACATATGCCTATAAGATTTATAGAAAAATACACAAGAAAACGGTCTCTGAAAGGTGGCAGGGAAATACTTTTAATTGTATATATTTTTAAGTCATTATTTTCACCACTGTGTGTGTGTGTATCACTTATTATAAAATCTTTTTTTTTTTTTTTGAGATGGAGTTTCGCTCTCATTGTCCAGGCTGGAGTGCAGTGGTGCAATCTTGACTCACCGAAACCTTTGCCTCCTGGGCTCAAGCAATTATCCCGCCTCTGCCTCCAAGTAGCTGGGATTACAGGTATGCACCACCATGCCCGGATAATTTTGTATTTTTAGTAGAGGTGGGGTTTCTCCATATTGGTCAGGCTGGTCTCAAACTCCCAACCTCAGCCTTCCAAAGCGCTAGGATTACAGGTGTGAGCCACCGCACCTGGCCTATAAAATCTTATAGTTAACATGAGAATTAGGAGCACACATAATTACAATTCTATTAATATCCTGTTTTTAGGAAGGCTTTATAAATAGTTTGCAATAGGATAAGGATTGTGTTAATGATTCAATATTGTGAGAAGCACAGAGAGTTATCTCTCGATAATCACAAACAAACGTAAAACTCCACAGAAAAAGCACTAGTGTGAGTATAAGTGTGGCATCCTGTTAAGCAACGAAGTAAAGTTTAGTTTCTTTTTTCACATTCGGTCTGTGCCTCCCAGGAAACACACTAGTTGGTGACAGCCCAGAGAAATGAGACAAATATCTGACCAGGCCTCACACCTCCCTGCAGATCTTCAGCCACAGAATTAACCCCCCACTGCCCTTATACATAGGAGCAATGTTACCAGAATAAATATTAAGATAATATTATGTAAGAGAAATATGTTTTTGAAGGAAGAACGCTGGACTAAATGAGGTCTTCTTGAGGACACAGGAGAATCGGAGCTTCAGTCTACTTACTGAACTTGCCATGTGCCTTGCACACAAGGCAATAAACATCTGCTGTCTGATGACAGTCAGGCTTACCATGATAAGCAAATTTCCTTCCAACGTTATCGGAATTCTGGGTTTATTTTCCACAAAGGCCAAGATGTAACCGAATTAATCCTATTTTCTGTGCTACTTTATCACAGCCTATGCGCTTGGCTCTTACAATCATCTTGTTCCTACTCCAGACTAGGACTCAAAAACTGGTCTGTTCAGTTTATTGCACTTTTTCTTCTCATACCTGGGTCATACAAACACAAATTTTACTACATATACATGACTATAACACTCCATAACAACAACAAAAAAGAATAAGTGAAATGATCAGCCACATATCGAATTGGACACCATCACTTGGTGACCCAGAGCCATATAATAAAGCTACAGAACCACTCAGGAAAAGAGCATCAGTGATAACGGTTAAGAAATCAACATAAAACCTCCCTATATATACTGTCTGGGTTTGTTTAACAGGCTCCTCTAAGAAGATAAAAGGGGTCATTTACAATCCATCCTGCTGTTTCCAGGGAGACTTTAACTTAAACAACTGCAGAAAAATTTATCTTTCAATCTGAAAAGCCTTTAAGGAAATGTATTCTCACTGTCCTTCAATACAGGAAAGTGACAACCCTTAGTCAACCTGCCTAATTTAAATCTTTCCGGCAGAAACATGTATAATAGGGGGCATGGGAAACCAGTGAAATGAATCAATTGCATGTGCAAACACCACTGGTTAAAAATACCTCGATGAGGCCAGCGACAGCAGCATTGCTGTTCCAGTGAAATAGCCCCACACAACCCCAAAAAAACAGTTCTCAGAACCACTTGCCCTGTTATGCTTCCAGTGTAGACATCTGAAAGGAAGCATTGCCCAGAAAACCCAATTTTAATTTTAACAAGCATTATTTACTGGAGAGTCAAGTACTGTTTGATTTCTCCTCTGACTGTCATGGGAATCCCTTCCTTTCCTTGCCCCCTTTTAAATACAGCATCTACTAAGATGGCCCCAAGGAAAGGACTTTCCTCTAGACACAACCAGAATTGGTATTGAGGAAAAGGAATGGGTTTCTCCTCTTCTCCCACTCGCAACTCCTCCCCTTCTTCCTCAAGGAACCCTTTTTGCCTCCCAAAATCTGCCTCAACAATGGCCCAAGGTTCCTTATAATCGTGTCCTCTCCTTTGAGGCAGAAATCTTTGGGAGTAGGAGCAAGGTAGGTTAGCTACAAACGCGGTGAGGGCTAAGCAACCCTAGCACCTCTAAGGTGCCCCCAGGAGGTCTTGCCAGGGAGCCTTCCACAGGGAGAATCACCCCGCCAGTTGTTCTGGATCTTGAAACTTGGGAGACGGGGAAGGGGAGACCCACACCAAAGGAGGGAACCGTTTCTTTACCCTTTAAGTGCGTCGTGTCCTCCGCCTCCTCTTCTCTTGGCCCGACTGGCTCTGGTTTCCTTCACGTTCCCAGCCTCCAAATTGGCGTCCGCCCCGTGGCTCGTGTAGGACGCTAAAAGCACGGTAAATCCCAGGACGATCTCCAGCAGGCCCCCTCGCCGCATGATGCCGAGCCGCCGCCGGCTCCCGCCGCCTCCTGCTGCGCCCAGGGCTAGGTCTGCGGCCGCCGCTGCGCCCTGAAGCGCACCGCGCAGCCGGGGTCCCGCTCTCCTGCCGCCAGTCCCCCAGGCCGGGCTCCTCCCGCCTTCTCCAGGCGCTGCTCCCACTTCAGGCGGCCCCTGCCAGCTGCAACACAGAGACAAATCCCCGAGGCGGGGAGATTTTCAGGGCATCGGGATGCTGAAGCCTCGCGGTCCCCATTACCGAGCCCAACCCGTGCGCCGCCTGCGCGTGGCGCAGTTAATTTGGGTAAGGGAAGACCGTTTGGTCCACAGCTGGCTGGAAACCCCAGGCCCCCAGCGGCAGCAACTCCAGCCGATCCCTCGGCCTCGCTGGCGCCGCCAGAAGAGCGCAGCGCAAAGTATCCATGTCCCCGGCGGTCCTAAGCCCAGGGTGAGCTCTCTGGGTTTATTTTTCTAGTGGCACGAATTGCGCGCGATGCGCGCTCTGAACGCCCCACTCTTCAGCCTGTCCTCTCCGCGGGGCTGGAAGCCCGCCGCGCCGTCCCCGCCGACTCCGGGCGCTGCCACCGCCCTCCGAACATCTGACGCGGAGCCCGGCACCAAGAGCCCCGGGCCAGGAAGCTGTCAGGCAGGGGAGGGCCAGCGCCAGCTGTGGACGTTCCGGGACAGCCCCTCACCCCAGTCCCCGTCCCTGCCCACCGCGCGGCGCAAACGCAAAAGCCTCCGTGGCCGCAGCTCCAGCCCCGGTGGCCGCCCGACCCCAGTCGGGACCCCGGCTGCACCCACTGGAGAAGCGGCGACTCCGACTCCCGAGGAGGCGGCGGCGACTGCTCCCGGTCCTGGCCGCTACAGCCACCGCTCCGCTCGCAGCTGTCCCAGCTGTGGCCGCCTGTCCGCTTGTGGCACCCACAGTCTCTGCCGCAGCTCCCGCGGCCCCCTCCTTTCCCCACCTCTTCAAGTATCGTCCGCGCAGCGGTTTCTCGCGAGAGAAATACTTGTTTAAAAAAAAGAAAGAAAAAGAAAATGACACCCCCTCCTTCATCCCCCTCATCACCACCCCACCCCCCGGCCTCATCCATCCTCCCTTTCCACTCCCCTTTGCCAGCCACCGCCTCGGCGCGGGGCCTCTCGCCGACAGGATTAGCGCAGTGGGAGGAGGCAGAGGTGATCAGGTCCTGCCCGACCCGGGACTTTTTGCCTTGAGGTGGGGAGGAGAGAAATGGGAAGAGGTGGAGTAGCGGTTTTAGCCGGTTCGGCAGTTGGGAGGTCTAGATCCGAGATTAGCCTCTCCAGTGATCGCGGAAGCCCTGCCGGAGCAGAAAGCCGTGCCACCTGCACCAAGAATGCGCGCTGGAGACGGCGGCCCCGGAGGCCCTGGCCCGAGAGGAGACCAGTGCCCGCTGCTCGCGCCTCCGGGTAGCGCGTTCCCTGCGCCTCTCCCGCCGGACACTCGGCAGACGCCGGAGGCCGGGAGGCTAAGGCAGGGTGCGTCGCAGGCCGGGACTGCCGCAGCGGCTGCGGCAGCGGCTGCTGTGCTGACCGAGGAGAGGGCTCCGCCGCCCCCTCTTACCCCGGGTGTCGAGAGCCCACTCCAGACGTGGCTCTTCCGAGGTTCAATTCAAACCACCCAGGCCTGAATCCAGGTTGCTCTTTCTAAGTCGGAGTCCAATCCAGGGGCCTGTAAATGTTGGAACCCAGGATTTAGGATGGGAGTGGTCAAGGGATGGTCCTCTTGCCCAGCCCAGGTTAAGATTGGGGTTCATCTGGAGGACTCTACTTACATCCTTCCCCCCGTCCCCCCGCCCCTCACACACACAGCTGCCTCTCCCCAAGTATGCATGGCACAGTGAATTTAGTGGCTTTGAAAGGTATAGTATTTGTGGCATCCTTATATGAATAATGCCAGATGATGCCTGCACCCTGTAACGGTTTAGGAAGGCCGGAAGTCGCGCACTGGGTCCTGGCTGCTGTAACTGGAGACCCCCAGAAAATCCCCGCAAGCAACCACCAGCCAGCCGGCAAGCCAGAAATAAGAGCTCAGCACAAACAGGTACCCTGGGAATGCATCCTGTTGAAGGGATTTTCCTTATTTGTAATCGTTTGTAAAGGGGCCCAGAGAGTAGGGTGGAGAGAACTGGGCAAGTTATTTAATTTCTTTCCCATTATAAGATGGGACTCATAGTGCCCACCACACAGGTTTGTAATGGCGATGATGGACATGCTGAACTGTTATGATACATGAAACAGTAAAACTGTGGGAACTATGAGCTGATCTAAAGCTATAGTCCTGTAGGTATGTATGTGGTCCACTCTAAGGTCTTACCTGTAAAAGGTCTCTTAGCAGTTTCATGAATGGGAGCCTTGGTTACACACTCCTGGCTGAGTAAAGGAGATCTTTCATTCAAGATGTGTTTACTGAGCACGAACTGTGTACCACTTAGTGTGTTGTTGAACCAGACTTCAACAATTTGAACAAGGCAGGTTCAACAATTTGAACAAGACTGACTTCAACAATTTAGTGAACAAGGCAGGAATGCATCTCCCCTCACAAAGCAGATAGTCAACAAGGAAAGGCAAACTTGAAACAAATAATGACCCAATAGTTAATTGCCAAAAAGGGTAAGTACTGGGTGCTTGCTTGGAGGATATATAACAAGGGGACTTGACCTAGGCTAGGACTGAGCAGGAAAGGGATCCCTGAGGACGTGATATTTAACTTAAGCCTAAAACATTACTAGACTCTACTTAGGATAGCAGTTGTCAACCCTGGCTATGCAGTAAAATAATGAGACGCTTTAAAAAAAATTCTGATACCAGGATGAGCATGGTGGCTCATGCCTGAGCATGTAATCCCAGCACTTTGGGAGGCCAAGGAGGGTAGATCACTTGAGGCCAGTAGTTCAAGACCAGCCCGGCCAACATAGCAAAACCCCATCTCTACTAAAAATACAAAAATTAGCCAGGTGGGGTGGTGCATGCCTATAAATCTAGCTACTAAGGAGGCTGAGGCACTAGAATCACTTGAACCTGAGAGGTGGAGGTTGCAGTGAGCAGAGATTGTGCTACTGCACTACAGTCTGGGCAACAGAGCAAAACTGTCTCAAAAAAAAAAAAAAAAAATCTGACACAGGCCCCAATGCCCAGAGTTTCTGATTTGAGTAGTCTGTAATGGATCCTGCACATGGATATTTTTTACAGCTCCCCAGGTAGGGAGAGGTAAGGAAGGAATTCACACTGGAAAAAGGAGAATTCACCATGGATCAGGAGAGAGCAGGGCTGTTGGACATCCAGGAACCCTTGTCCTGCCCACCAGTGTTCTGGGCTGCTCTGCACCCATGGGGGAATCTGAAGACTGCATTCTTTCCTTGTTAGCAGCATGCAAGACATGCTGTGCCCTCTCTCCCAGAATCTTACACTCAGTGCCATGTTGGACAGCAGCAACCAAGCACAAGCCTTTCCTAAGGCTTCTGCCCAAGAAGTAAAGGACAAATCCTGGTGCCCTGCAAGTCCCCTCTTCCAACACATCTGGACATTTCCATTACTTCTAACTCAACCTTAAACCACCTTCCACCTTCCAAACTTTCACCTCCAAGGGAGGGATTTGGATTAAATGCTTTAATATGGTTTTTGCTTTTCCTCACAACCTCTTTATTCATTGGCCTCTTTCTCCAGTAAAGGAAAGACACTCACTGAATGGCAGTTCCAAGCCATATATTCTCTTCCTTGAGCAATAAGTCTCATGACCACAATGGTGGAAGATCTACAGGGGAAGGGGAAATAGAGGGAACTTGATTACTTAAAGCTAAATGCATTTTTAAATATATAAGAAATATTCCCACTATTTAGGCAATCAACATAGAGTAGGATGCTACTTATGACAAAATTCAGTAACGAATAATAAAAGTCTGTGTCTTTGCAATAAGATTTTCTTGATGCCAGATGATTGAGGGCCCATCTCTCCTTAAACCTATCACAGATCCTTTTTCTTCTTAAATAGGTTTTGCACTCTTTGCAAATTAAGTCCACGAGCTAGAATTCTTTGGTTCCATCTCTTTATTTCAAAGAATTCTATTCACCCTAAGAAACCCTGCTCAAATTCCTTCTTGTTCATAGGTGTGTTAGCTTATGCCCGTCTCTCTTGTTCTAACATCACTGCACTTATTAGCTGAATCATTCACTTAATACTTCATTAATTTTAATACATGATTATAGTATGCCTACTATATGCCAAGCACCATGTCGGGCACTGACCATTGGAGATATTTCTTCTGTTGTTATGCTGAATTATTAGGTTGGTGCTAAAGTAATTTCAGTGTTTGACATTTAAAAGTACTGGCAAAACCACAATTACTTTTGCACCAACCTAAATATATATGTGTGTGTGTGTGTGTGTGTGTGTGTATGTGTATATATATGTATGTATGTGTGTGTGTGTGTGTGTGTGTGTGTGTGTATGGAATGCAACCTTGTTTTTTTTTTTTTAATTTATTTTATTGCATTTTAGGTTTTGGGGTACATGTGAAGAACATGCAAGATTGTTGCATAGGTACACACGTGGCAGTGTGATTTGCTGCCTTCCTCCCCATCACCTATATTCTGACATTTCTCCCCATGCTATCTCTCCCCAACTCCCCACCCCCTACTGACCCTCCCCTATTTCCCCCCAACAGACCCAAGTGTGTAGTGCTCCCCTCCCTGTGTCCATGTGTTCTCATTGTTCAACACCCACCTATGAGCGAGAACATGCGGTGTTTGATCTTCTGCTCTTCTGTCAGTTTGCTGAGCATGATGCTTTCCAGGTTCATCCATGTCCCTACAAAGGACACAAACTCATCATTTTTGATGGCTGCATAATATTCCATGGTGTATATGTGCCACATTTTCCCTGTCCAGTCTATCATCAATGGGCATTTGGGTTGGTTCCAGGTCCTTGCTATTGTAAACAGTGCTGCAATGAACATTCGTGTGCACGTGTCCTTATCGTAGAACGATTTATAATTCTTTGGATATATACCCAGTAATGGGATTGCTGGGTCAAATGGAATTTCTATTTCTAGGTCCTTGAGGAATTGCCACACTGTCTTCCACAATGGTTGAACTAATTTACACTCCCACCAACAGTGTGAAAGTGCAACCTTGTCTTTAAGGATCTATCATGCACCTAGGGAGAGTAAGTACAATGGCTACAGAAAATATGTGTATATGTATATATGTGTGTGTGTGTGTGTGTGTGTGTGTGTGTGTGTATATGTATGTGTATATATGTGTGTATTTCCTGTAGCCATTGTACTTACTCTTCCTAGGTGCATGATAGATCCTTAAAGACAAGGTTGCATTCCTTATTCAAGGAAACTTGCTAGTGTCCTAAAAACTATGACAAAACACAAATGTTTTGTTTGTTGTTTGATGGGTTGAAATCTTGTGGCATTTTTAGCTTCAAGCCACTCATCATTTTATACCTCCTGTGTAAATATCTGTGTCAGCAAAGGTTCTTTGTCTACAAGCAAGAAAACTAGTTATGGCAAATTTAAGCAAAAAAAAAAAAGACTTTTTAAATTATTATCAAGTTATGAGCTGGCTCTTGAACTTGACTTTGGGATAAAATGAGTAGTGCGGTTCTGGGATAATGGTAAGCAGAGAACCTCTTCAGGGTGACGCCATGTGAGTAAATCAATTCCAACCATTTTGGTCCTTTTGTCACCTCTTTTAGAGTTCAAATTCAAAGGATAGGGTCCTTTTGATGTAGCTGTTTAGGGAACTTGGGCACATTCCTGGCCAAAGGATGACGGAGTATCTTGATGGATAGTCCCAACAAGACTGCATGCCATGGGAAAGAAGTTAATCTATAAACAATGGGAGAAACACTAATTTGGTCATGCACCAAAAATTGAAAGGCATTAATGCTTGTTAGGGGCAAAAAAAAAACAAATCC